CCTGCGTCGAGAGACACGTGCCGCGTTGTCCCTCGGCCCGGTTGCCCGTGACATCGCCTCACGTCCCTTCGCATCTCCTCCAAGGTCGTCGCCGCCGCCGCCGCCGCAGTAAATCCATCCCCCCTAAATCCTTCAGCTGCAATCAGAAGCGGCGTTGTGGCGAGCTGAGAGAGCGATCGCCGAGCGGGCGTCTCGCGCTCTCCCTCCTTTGCCCAGACCCCCCACCTCCCGCCCCCCCAAAACAACAACAACAACAACTCCCGGTGCTGTGTGGCACACGAGGCGGCTGCCATCCGCAAGCGGTTAACCTCTCCCAGAATTGTGCACAAGTTGAATGACTCGACGCCTGCCCGGGAATTTCTTCCGCAGTGGCAATTTCTTACCCCCCTGCCTCCACTTCGTCTACAACCAGTCCTACTAATGTGACCTAGTAGTAGCAGTGCTGGTAGTAGTAGTAGGAGTGCTGGTAGTAGTAGTAGTAGGGGTGCTGGTAGTAGTAGGAGTGCTAGTAGTAGTAGTAGTAGTGTTGGTAGTAGTGGTAGTAGGAGTGCTGGTAGTAGTAGTAGGAGTGCTGGTAGTAGTAGTAGGAGTGCTGGTAGTAGTAGTAGGAGTGCTGGTAGTAGTAGTAGGAGTGCTGGTAGTAGTAGGAGTGCTAGTAGTAGTAGTAGGAGTGTTGGTAGTAGTGGTAGTAGGAGTGCTGGTAGTAGTAGTGCTGGTAGTAGTAGTAGTAGGAGTGCTGGTAGTAGTAGTAGGAGTGCTGGTAGTAGTAGGAGTGCTGGTAGTAGTAGTAGGAGTGCTGGTAGTAGTAGGAGTGTTGGTAGTAGTGGTAGTAGGAGTGCTGGTAGTAGTAGTAGGAGGAGTGCTGGTAGTAGTAGTAGGAGTGTTGGTAGTAGCAGTAGTAGGAGTGGTGGTAGTAGTAGGAGTGCTGGTAGTAGTAGTAGTAGTGGTGCTTGTAGTAGTGGTAGGAGTGCTGGTAGTAGTAGTGGTAGGAGTGACGGTAGTAGTAGTAGGAGTGCTGGTAGTAGTTGTGGTAGGAGTGCTGGTAGTAGTAGTGCTGGTAGTACTAGTAGTGCTGGTAGTAGTAGGAGTGTTGCTAGTAGTAGTGCTGATAGTAGTAGGAGTGCTGGTAGTAATAGTAGTAGGAGTGCTGGTAGTAGTAGTAGGAGTGCTGGTAGCAGTAGTAGGAGTGCGGGTAGTAGTAGTAGGAGTGCTGGTATTAGTATTAGGAGTGCTGGTAGTAGTAGTAGGAGTGCTGGTAGTAGTAGTAGTGCTGGTAGTAGTAGTAGGAGTGCTGGTAGTAGTAGTAGTAGGAGTGCTGGTAGTAGTAGTAGGAGTGCTGGTAGTAGTAGTAGGAGTGCGGGTAGTAGTAGTAGGAGTGATGGTAGTAGTAGTAGGAGTGATGGTATTAGTAGTAGTGCTGGTGGTAGTAGTAGTGGTAGGAGTGCTGGTAGTAGTAGTAGTAGTGCTGGTAGTCGTAGTAGTGATAGTAGTAGTAGTGCTGGTAGTAGTAGTAGGAGTGCTAGTAGTAGTAGGAGTGCTGGTAGTAGTAGTGGTGCTGGTAGTAGTGGTAGTAGGAGTGCTGGTAGTAGTAGCAGTGATGGTAGTGGTAGTAGGAGTGTTGGTAGTAGCAGTAGTAGGAGTGTTGGTAGTAGCAGTAGTAGGAGTGCTGGTAGTAGCAGTAGGAGTGCTGGTAGTAGTAGTAGTAGCGCTGGTAGTAATAGTAGTATTAGGAGTGCTGGTAGTAGTAGTAGTGCTGGTAGTCGTAGTAGTGATAGTAGTAGTAGTAGTGCTGGTAGTAGTAGTAGGAGTGCTAGTGGTAGTAGGAATGCTGGTAATAGTAGTGGGAGTGCTGGTCGTAGTGGTAGTAGGAGTGCTGGTAGTAGTAGAAGGAGTGCTGGTAGTAGTAGAAGGAGTGCTGGTAGTAGTAGTAGTGATGGTAGTAGTAGGATTGATGGTAGTAGTAGTAGTGCTTGTAGTAGTAGTAGGAGTGTTGGTATTATTAGTAGTAGGAGTGATGGTAGTAGTAGTAGTGCTGGTAGTAGTAGTAGTAGGAGTGCTGGCAGTAGTAGTAGTAGTAGGAGTGCTGGTAGTAGTGCTGGTAGTAGTAGTAGGAGTGTTGGTAGTAGTAGTGTTGGTAGTAGTAGTAGTAGAAGTGCTGGTAGTAGTAGGAGTGCTGGTAGTAGTAGTGATAGTTGTAGTAGTAGTAGGGCTGGTAGTAGTAGTAGGAGTGCTAGTAGTAGTGGGAGTGCTGGTCGTAGTAGTGGGAGTGCTGGTAGTAGTGGTAGTAGGAGTGTTGGTAGTAGTAGGAGTGATGGTAGTAGTAGTAGGAGTGTTGGTAGTAGCAGTAGTAGGAGTGGTGGTAGTAGTAGTAGGAGTGTTGGTAGTAGCAGTAGTAGGAGTGATGGTAGTAGTAGCAGTAGGAGTGCTGGTAGTAGTAGGAGTGTTGGTAGTAGCAGTAGTAGGAGTGGTGGTAGTAGTAGTAGTAGGAGTGCTGGTAGTAGGAGTGCTTGTAGTAGTAGTAGGAGTGCTGGTTGTAGTAGTAGTAGGAGTGCTGGTAGTAGTAGTAGGAGTGCTAGTAGTAGTAGGAGTGCTGGTAGTAGTAGTAGTGCTGGCAGTAGTAGTAGGAGTGCTGGTAGTAGTAGTAGGAGTGCTGGTAGTAGTAGTAGGAGTGCTGGTAGTAGTAGTAGGAGTGCTGGTAGTAGTAGCAGTAGGAGTGCTGGTAGTAGTAGTAGGAGTGCTGGTAGTAGTAGCAGTAGTAGTGCTGGTAGTAGTAGTAGGAGTGCTGGTAGTAGCAGTAGGAGTGCTGGTAGTAGTAGGAGTGCTAGTAGTAGTAGGAGTGCTGGTAGTAGTAGTAATAGGAGTGCTGGTAGTAGTAGTAGTAGTGCTAGTAGTAGTAGTGGTGCTGGTAGTAGTAGGAGTGCTGGTAGTAGTAGTAGGAGTGCTGGTAGTAGTAGTAGTAGGAGTGCTGGTAGTAGTAGTAGGAATGCTGGAAGTAGTAGTAGGAGTGCTAGTAGTAGTAGTAGTGCTGGTAGTAGTAGGAGTGCTGGTAGTAGTAGTGCTGGTAGTAGTAGTAGTAGGAGTGCTGGTAGTAGTAGTGCTAGTAGTAGTAGTGCTGGTAGTAGTAGTAGGAGTGCTGGTAGTAGTAGGAGTGCTGGTAGTAGCAGTAGGAGTGCTGGTAGTAGTAGTGCTGGTATTAGTAGTAGTGCTGGTAGTAGTAGTAGGAGTGCTGGTAGTAGTAGTAGTGATGGTAGTAGTAGAAGTAGTGCTGGTAGTAGTAGTAGGAGTGCTGGTAGTAGTAGCAGTAGGAGTGCTGGTAGTAGTAGTAGGAGAGCTGGTAGTAGTAGTAGGAGTGCTGGTAGTAGTAGTAGGAGTGCTGGTAGTAGTAGTAGGAGTGCTGGTAGTAGTAGCAGTAGGAGTGCTGGTAGTAGGAGTGCTGGTAGTAGTAGTGCTGGAAGTAGTAGTAGTAGTGCTGGTAGTAGCAGTAGGAGTGCTGGTAGTAGTAGTAGGAGTGCTAGTAGTAGTAGTAGGAGTGCTGGTAGTAGTAGTAATAGGAGTGCTGGTAGTAGTAGTAGTAGTAGTGCTAGTAGTAGTAGTAGTGCTGGTAGTAGTAGTAGTAGGAGTGCTGGTAGTAGTAGTAGGAGTGCTGGTAGTAGTAGTAGTAGTAGAAGTGCTGGTAGTAGTAGGAATGCTGGTAGTAGGAGTGCTAGTAGTAGTAGTAGTGCTGGTAGTAGTAGGAGTGCTGGTAGTAGTAGTAGGAGTGCTGGTAGTAGTAGTAGTAATAGTGCTGGTAGAGGTAGTAGGGGTGCTGGTAGTAGTAGCAGGAGTGCTGGTAGTAGCAGTGGGAATGCTGGTAGTAGTAGTAGTGCTGGTATTAGTAGTAGTGCTGGTTGTAGTAGTAGTGCTGGTAGTAGTAGTAGTGATGGTAGTAGTAGAAGTAGTGCTGGTAGTAGTAGTAGGAGTGCTGGTAGTAGTAGCAGTAGGAGTGCTGGTAGTAGTAGCAGTAGGAGTGCTGGTAGTAGTAGTAGGAGTGCTGGTAGTAGTAGCAGTAGGATTGCTGGTAGTAGTATTAGGAGTGCTGGTAGTATTAGTAGTAATAGGAGTGCTAGTAGTAGTAGTAGTAGTGCTGGTAGTAGTAGTAGGAGTGCTAGTAGTAGTAGTAGGAGTGCTGGTAGTAGTGGTAGTAGTAGAGCTGGTAGTAGTGCTGGTAGTAGTAGTAGTGCTAGTAGTAGTAGTGCTGGTAGCAGTAGGAGTGTTGCTAGTAGTAGTGCTCGTAGTAGTAGTAGGAGTGGTGGTAGTAGTATTAGGAGTGCTGGTAGTAGTAGTATTGCTGGTAGTAGTAGTTGTATTTGTAGGAGGAGTGCTGGTAGTAGTAGTAGTGCTAGTAGTAGTAGAGTGCTGGTAGTAGTAGTAGGAGTGCTGGTAGTAGTAGCAGTAGGAGTGCTGGTAGCAGTGGTAGTGCTGGTAGTAGTAGTGCTGGTAGTAGTAGTAGTAGTGCTGGTAGTAGTAGTGATGGTAGTAGTAGTGCTGGTAGTAGTAGTGCTAGTAGTAGTGGGAGTGCTGGTAGTAGTGGTAGTAGGAGTGCTGGTAGTAGTAGTAGAAGTGCTGGTAGTAGTAGTCGTAGGAGTGCAAGTAGTAGTAGGAATGCTGGTAGTAGTAGTCGTAGGAGTGCAAGTAGTAGTAGTAGGAGTGCTGGTAGTAGTGGTAGTAGGATTGCTGGTAGTAGTAGTATTGCTGGTAGTAGCAGTGCTAGTAGTAGTAGTAGTGCTGGTAGTAGTAGTATGAGTGCTGGTAGTAGTAGTGCTAGTAGTAGTAGTAGTGCTGGTTGTAGTAGTCGTAGTGCTGGTAGTAGTATGAGTGCTGGTAGTAGTAGTATGAGTGCTGGTAGTAGTAGTAGTATGAGTGCTGGTAGTAGTAGTGCTAGTAGTAGTAGTAGTGCTGGTAGTAGTAGTAGTGCTAGTAGTAGTAGTATGAGTGCTGGTAGTAGTATGAGTGCTGGTAGTAGTAGTGCTAGTAGTAGTAGTAGTAGTGCTGGTAGTAGTAGTATTGCTGGTAGTAGTAGTAGTGCTAGTAGTAGTATGGGTGCTGGTAGTAGTAGTGCTGGTAGTAGTGGTAGTATGAGTGCTGGAAGTAGTAGTAGTATGAGTGCTGGTAGTAGTAGTATGAGTGGTAGTAGTAGTAGTAGTAGTAGTATTGCTGGTAGTAGTATGACTGCTGGTAGTAGTATGAGTGCTGGTAGTAGTAGTATGAGTGCTGGTAGTGGTATGAGTGCTTTTAGTAGTAGTAGTAGTAGTGCTGGTAGTAGTAGTAGTAGTGCTAGTAGTAGTATGAGTGCTGGTAGTAGTAGTATGAGTGCTGGTAGTAGTAGTAGTAGTATGAGTGCTGGTAGTAGTAGTAGTAGTGCAAGTAGTAGTATGAGTGCTGGTAGTGGTAGTATGGGTGTTGGTAGTAGTAGTATGAGTGTTGGTAGTAGTAGTAGTATGAGTGCTGGTAGTAGTAGTAGTAGTGCTAGTAGTAGTATGAGTGCTGGTAGTAGTAGTAGTATGAGTGCTGGTAGTAGTAGTATAAGTGCTGGTAGTAGTATGAGTGCTGGTAGTAGTAGTAGTAGTGCTGGTAGTAGTAGTATGAGTGCTGGTAGTAGTAGTAGTGCTAGTAGTAGTAGTAGTGCTAGTAGTAGTAGTGCTGGTAGTAGTAGTATGAGTGCTGGTAGTAGTAGTAGGAGTGCTAGTAGTAGTAGTAGTGGTAGTAGTAATAGTATGAGTGCTAGTAGTAGTAGTATGAGTGCTGGTAGTAGTGGTAGTAGTAGTGCTAGTAGTATGAGTGCTGGTAGTAGTGGTAGTAGTAGTGCTAGTAGTAGTAGTATGAGTGCTAGTAGTAATAGTAGTGCTGCTAGTAGTTGTAGTGCTAGTAGTAGTAGTATGAGTGCTAGTAGTAATAGTAGTGCTGCTAGTAGTAGTAGGAGTGCTAGTAGTAGTAGTAGGAGTGCTGGTAGTAGTAGTAATAGGAGTGCTGGTAGTAGTAGTAGTAGTAGTGCTAGTAGTAGTAGTAGTGCTGGTAGTAGTAGTAGTAGGAGTGCTGGTAGTAGTAGTAGGAGTGCTGGTAGTAGTAGTAGTAGTAGAAGTGCTGGTAGTAGTAGGAATGCTGGTAGTAGGAGTGCTAGTAGTAGTAGTAGTGCTGGTAGTAGTAGGAGTGCTGGTAGTAGTAGTAGGAGTGCTGGTAGTAGTAGTAGTAATAGTGCTGGTAGAGGTAGTAGGGGTGCTGGTAGTAGTAGCAGGAGTGCTGGTAGTAGCAGTGGGAATGCTGGTAGTAGTAGTAGTGCTGGTATTAGTAGTAGTGCTGGTTGTAGTAGTAGTGCTGGTAGTAGTAGTAGTGATGGTAGTAGTAGAAGTAGTGCTGGTAGTAGTAGTAGGAGTGCTGGTAGTAGTAGCAGTAGGAGTGCTGGTAGTAGTAGCAGTAGGAGTGCTGGTAGTAGTAGTAGGAGTGCTGGTAGTAGTAGCAGTAGGATTGCTGGTAGTAGTATTAGGAGTGCTGGTAGTATTAGTAGTAATAGGAGTGCTAGTAGTAGTAGTAGTAGTGCTGGTAGTAGTAGTAGGAGTGCTAGTAGTAGTAGTAGGAGTGCTGGTAGTAGTGGTAGTAGTAGAGCTGGTAGTAGTGCTGGTAGTAGTAGTAGTGCTAGTAGTAGTAGTGCTGGTAGCAGTAGGAGTGTTGCTAGTAGTAGTGCTCGTAGTAGTAGTAGGAGTGGTGGTAGTAGTATTAGGAGTGCTGGTAGTAGTAGTATTGCTGGTAGTAGTAGTTGTATTTGTAGGAGGAGTGCTGGTAGTAGTAGTAGTGCTAGTAGTAGTAGAGTGCTGGTAGTAGTAGTAGGAGTGCTGGTAGTAGTAGCAGTAGGAGTGCTGGTAGCAGTGGTAGTGCTGGTAGTAGTAGTGCTGGTAGTAGTAGTAGTAGTGCTGGTAGTAGTAGTGATGGTAGTAGTAGTGCTGGTAGTAGTAGTGCTAGTAGTAGTGGGAGTGCTGGTAGTAGTGGTAGTAGGAGTGCTGGTAGTAGTAGTAGAAGTGCTGGTAGTAGTAGTCGTAGGAGTGCAAGTAGTAGTAGGAATGCTGGTAGTAGTAGTCGTAGGAGTGCAAGTAGTAGTAGTAGGAGTGCTGGTAGTAGTGGTAGTAGGATTGCTGGTAGTAGTAGTATTGCTGGTAGTAGCAGTGCTAGTAGTAGTAGTAGTGCTGGTAGTAGTAGTATGAGTGCTGGTAGTAGTAGTGCTAGTAGTAGTAGTAGTGCTGGTTGTAGTAGTCGTAGTGCTGGTAGTAGTATGAGTGCTGGTAGTAGTAGTATGAGTGCTGGTAGTAGTAGTAGTATGAGTGCTGGTAGTAGTAGTGCTAGTAGTAGTAGTAGTGCTGGTAGTAGTAGTAGTGCTAGTAGTAGTAGTATGAGTGCTGGTAGTAGTATGAGTGCTGGTAGTAGTAGTGCTAGTAGTAGTAGTAGTAGTGCTGGTAGTAGTAGTATTGCTGGTAGTAGTAGTAGTGCTAGTAGTAGTATGGGTGCTGGTAGTAGTAGTGCTGGTAGTAGTGGTAGTATGAGTGCTGGAAGTAGTAGTAGTATGAGTGCTGGTAGTAGTAGTATGAGTGGTAGTAGTAGTAGTAGTATTGCTGGTAGTAGTATGACTGCTGGTAGTAGTATGAGTGCTGGTAGTAGTAGTATGAGTGCTGGTAGTGGTATGAGTGCTTTTAGTAGTAGTAGTAGTGCTGGTAGTAGTAGTAGTAGTGCTAGTAGTAGTATGAGTGCTGGTAGTAGTAGTATGAGTGCTGGTAGTAGTAGTAGTAGTATGAGTGCTGGTAGTAGTAGTAGTAGTGCAAGTAGTAGTATGAGTGCTGGTAGTGGTAGTATGGGTGTTGGTAGTAGTAGTATGAGTGTTGGTAGTAGTAGTAGTATGAGTGCTGGTAGTAGTAGTAGTAGTGCTAGTAGTAGTATGAGTGCTGGTAGTAGTAGTAGTATGAGTGCTGGTAGTAGTAGTATAAGTGCTGGTAGTAGTATGAGTGCTGGTAGTAGTAGTAGTAGTGCTGGTAGTAGTAGTATGAGTGCTGGTAGTAGTAGTAGTGCTAGTAGTAGTAGTAGTGCTAGTAGTAGTAGTGCTGGTAGTAGTAGTATGAGTGCTGGTAGTAGTAGTAGGAGTGCTAGTAGTAGTAGTAGTGGTAGTAGTAATAGTATGAGTGCTAGTAGTAGTAGTATGAGTGCTGGTAGTAGTGGTAGTAGTAGTGCTAGTAGTATGAGTGCTGGTAGTAGTGGTAGTAGTAGTGCTAGTAGTAGTAGTATGAGTGCTAGTAGTAATAGTAGTGCTGCTAGTAGTTGTAGTGCTAGTAGTAGTAGTATGAGTGCTAGTAGTAATAGTAGTGCTGCTAGTAGTAGTAGGAGTGCTAGTAGTAGTAGTAGGAGTGCTAGTAGTAGTAGTATGAGTGCTGGTAGTAGTAGTAGTGCTAGTAGTAGTGCTGGTAGTAGTAGTAGTTCTGGTAGTAGTAGTGCTGGTAGTCGTAGTAGTGCTAGTCGTAGTAGGAGGAGTGCTGGTAGTAGTAGTAGTGCTGGTAGTAGTAGTAGTATGAGTGCTGGTAGTGGTAGTAGGATTGCTAGTAGTAGTAGTCGTATTGCTGGTAGTAGTAGTGCTAGTAGTAGTAGTATGAGTGCTAAATGTTGCTGCTGGTGGGCGAGACACCGACTCGCGTGGTGCGTAGTCAAATCGTGACGAGGCTTCCTCGCCGCACGCTAGCATCAAACTCTGTCGTCTAGAACCCAGCGCTGTAAGGACATCACAAAAACACCGACGAGTCAGTGAAGGGTGTCGGCCCTTAACGGCTGGTTTGGAGAGCTGCCGATGGCATGCGCAGACAGTGTTGAGAGCAAGAGAAGATTGCGCGCTTTGTGGAGCAGAGGTCAGAAGCACTGTTAGTCAAGAGCGCCGAACATCGGTCGGCTTGAGGGTTGTGCTCTGGGTTTTGTTATCAGTGGCAAGGGGGAGAGAGAAAGGAGCTGAGCTCGTGGTGGAGAAGGGTAGGCACGACGTTCAAGTTAAGTCGTGCCGACATTGCCCGCTCGTCGACATTCCCAATTAAGTCAATTCTGGCTCGTTCTGAATTTGCCGAATATTTTGAACTATTTATTTTGTTTCATATAACGCATTTAAAATTGGTTACGCGGGCTTCTGAGACTCAAAATTCATGCAAGAACAGGCGCATGCCTCGAAAGCATTGTGACTGCAACGAGCGTCCCACGGACATTCACCCCTCGGGGTTGTCATCGGAGCGTTGTGCGCCACCGACGATGCCAATCGTCGGCGAGCAATTCGGACACCAACACTCGATATGGACCTTATCGGTACAGGCGCTGTTACTTAAGCGCACGTCCAAATTCCCAGGGCACTTGAACTATCGACTCGCGTCCGTCGTTTCCGCGCGCCCGTCGGTGGATTTTGGTGCCGCCGTTACCTGTCCCCGGTGTTCTGCGCTGAACTTTCAACCGGTCGCGAAGGCCTCGACGACCAAATACGAAGGACGGTGTCGATTTGCGCTGCTGCCCGTGGGTTTCGGTGCTTTGTTTCAACGGCCACTGAGAAGCAACACCTATGGCATCATCATCGATAATCATCATCAGCAGCAGCAGCGTCATCTCCATCATCATCATCAAGTGCAGCATCCGCAACATCGCTCTTCCATCTCGGCCTCCCTGCACACACTGTGGGTGCTGTGTTCCAGCGAACACTGATAAGCAACGCCTATGGCATTATAATCATCATTAATCATCATCATCAACATCATCATCACCACGACCGCGCTCGTACGCTCGTGCGCTCGTGCGCGCGCCCGTTCGTGGTGAAGGTGCAGCGCGGCGACATCGCTCTTCCACCTCGGCCTCCCTCCACGCACTTTTGCCGCGTCTGGCTCAGCTACCCCCCGCTAGCTCATTAGCTTCAATGACCCTGGAAGTAAGCCCATTTTGCACCCAAATTAGCAGCTGTAAAGGGCACGCATTTGTACGCGAGCATTAAGGGGCGCAATGATTAATCGATTGATTAAATTTTAAATCAGCGATGTAAATCATCGATTAGCACTGCAATTGATAGCTCGGGGGGTCTGGTGCAATTGCCTGGGCCAACAGAACACCAGAAACCGCTTCATCAATATGAATTAAAAATGCTCCGGGAAAGCTCTCCCGGTAGTGTCCAATTATTTATTGGATTGTTTTCAACGTGACGACGAAATTCACAACCATTTCGGGTACGTGTGTGTTTGTGTGTGTGTGTCGACTCTGCCTTAAATAAGTACTTGCTACGGTGTGTAAATATCAGTACTGGGGGGGACAAAGGCGGCCGGGCGTGGTGCTGGCCACCCGAATCCCTCGTGTGCCGTGCCGGCCTTCATAGGTCCTACTCCCTAACAGAACTTGCGCCAACAGTCTGTGAAGGCTGCACGGGGGATCTTTGTCTTTGCGTAGACCCAGCGAGCCAAATGTTTACTTTTTATTTCTTTAAAAACCGATTCCTCCCCGAGCTGTTAAAGAACCGACGCGTCGCACGTGCGTATGTTGAACTTCCTTCGCACCGTACGTAGCGGGCCGCCAGCAACGAACAGTACTCTCACAGTATCGCTAGACGGGAGCTCACACGACGGGGTCGCCAGCGAGTGACCGAGCGAGCAATTTCAGGGCCGCGCCTTTACCTTCCCCGTCCACGTCTCTCCTCCCCCAGTCCCTGGCCTCCTTCTCCCCAGGACGGACGAGCGGGCCGGGCGAGCGAGCGGGGGAGACGTTTGGGGCAGCGGTGCGGCTGAAGTGGCATTCATGGCGCTCGGCCACGAAACGCGCTAGCGAAGCCAGCTGGCTCCCCCAACGTCACTTTTCACTTCGGTTGGGGGGCTTGTGAGTCATTTGTGTGTGTGTGTGGGGGGGGGGATGTGGTTGCGCGCGACTTGATGGAACAGCGTGAGAGCGATAACTCAACGAAGTTTGGGCAGCTGCTTCCGCCGTCTCTCCGCCCGTTGTCGCACCTCGCCGAACAAAACATAACCCGCCACCACCACCAGCACCACCAGCACCACCAGCACCACGAGCAGCAGCACCAGCACCAGCACGGTATCGATCTCGTGACTCGTGACGACGTTACAAGGGAACCACCCAAGCGCTCGCTGTTGTGGGTGGCCACGGGGCCCGCCCAGGTGGTTGAAGGCGACCGTCGCGGGGTTTCTTCACCGCCCGGGACCGCTCGTATCAACACTCATTTCTAAAACAACGGGTTTTTTTTCGTGCGTGTGTTTAGTGTTCATAATATAGGGGGGGGGGGGGGTTGTCTGCCGCCTGATGAAGCTGGTTGTAATCACTGGCGAAACGTCGTAGCTCAGATTGTAAACGTCGTGGCTTGGCTCTCCAACACACCGGTGGTGCTGTACTAGTACACTACACTATACACTACACTATTAAACACTATACACTACACTATATACTACACTATACACTACACTATTAAACACTATACACTACACTATATACTACACTAAACACTGCATTATACACTACAATATAAACTACACTACTATACACTACACTATACACTACATTATACACTACACTATACACTACACTATACACTAGTGCTGTACTAGTGACGAATTGGCCACGTTCTGTTTACGTGACAACCCTCACTAGTAAGCTGTGTAGGGTGGTGGCGGGCTTAACGACATATTTCTATTTACGCGATCTAACCCCGCAAACAAACTTTTATTATGGATGATATTGGTCGCGAAAGCCTCCTCCTCCTACTACTATTACGAGTTAAACTGTTTAGTGTTGTTGTTCTCCTGGTGGTGCAGCGATTAGCACCGCGCTGCGCTGCGAACCCGGAAACCCGGGTTCGATTCCCGCTCACGGCCATCACCAGTGACGATTATCTGAACCGGTCCTGGGCCTCCCCAAGGTCGACTCAGCCTCAAATTAGTTCATCGTGCGATGTGTAAACATCACCTACTCGGGAGACAAAGGCGGCCGGGCGTGATGCTGGCCACCAACCCCCTCGTGTACCGTTCCGGCCTTCATAGCTTCTTGCCCGAACAGTCTGTTCAGGCTATGCGGGGGTTCTTTGCCTTTGTACCCCGTCCCCCCACCCTATCACACGCTCCGATAAGCACGATTGGCTACGTACGGTGCGAACGAAGTTCAACGTGCGTGCGTCTTGTCCTAGCCGCCCGCTGACTTTGTTCAATAATTTAAGAACAGCGGCCACCAACACGAAGTCTCCGGCTTACCGCGCGCCCCCATCATCCACGTGGCTCTTCTCTTCGCCTCTCGTAGGCACTCAGCGAAAATCCCGACAGCATTGTTTTTTAAAATGTTTTATAAAGTTCACGTCTGAAAGCTGATGTCATTATTAATATGCAATAGCGTCGCAATTATTCAACGATTTCACTTATTTAGCAACAGAGAAGGGAGAGATCGCGAAAGATGGAGCCTGGTCCAGTCGTTTCTGGCAGATAAGCGAATTACTCAGTGAGCTTTACTTGATAATATAAAATTTTGTTTTTAAATTATTTACGTATATGTGTTTACTTTTCCTATACTTTGCACTGATATCGTGTTGTTTGTTGTTGTTTGTTGTTGTAACGTTCCAACTATATGCCCCCGACTGAATCTGTGAAAAAAGAGCTTTACAGCGCAGAGGCTTCCTCCTGCAGTGTACATACCTATTCTGATCCGATCTCTGGAGCAACGCACGAGCGAGGGAGACAGAGGGAGCCAGAGGGAGACAGAGAGAGCCAGAGGGAGAAAGAGGGAGCCAGAGGGAGAAAGAGGGAGAAAGAGGGAGAAAGAGAGAGACAGAGGGAGACAGAGAGAGACAGAGAGAGACAGAGAGAGAGAGAGAGGGAGACAGAGGGAGACAGTGAGAGGGAGACAGAGGGAGACAGAGGCAGACAGTGAGAGGGAGACAGAGGGAGACAGAGGGAGACAGAGGGAGCCAGAGGGAGAAAGTGGGAGAAAGTGGGAGAAAGAGGGAGACAGAGAGAGATAGATAGAGACAGAGAGAGACAGAGAGGGAGAGAGAGGGAGACAGAGGGAGACAGTGAGAGGGAGACAGAGGGAGACAGAGGCAGACAGAGGGAGACAGAGGCAGACAGAGGGAGACAGAGCGAGAAAGAGGGATAAAGAGGGAGAAAGAGGGAGACAGAGGGAGACAGAGGGAGAAAGAGAGAGACAGAGGGAGACAGAGAGGGAGACAGAGAGGGAGACAGAGGGAGAGAGGGGGAGACAGGGGGAGACAGGGGGAGACAGAGGGAGACAGAGGGAGACAGAGGGAGAGAGAGGGAGAGAGAGGGAGACAGAGGGAGACAGAGGGAAACAGAGGGAGACAGAGGGAGAGAGAGGGAGACAGAGGGAGACAGAGGGAGACAGAGGGAGACAGAGAGGCAGACAGAGAGAGACAGAGGGAGACAGAGAGGGAGACAGAGGGAGAGAGATGGAGACAGAGGCAGACAGAGGGAGACAGAGGGAGACAGAGGGAGACAGAGGGAGAGAGAGGGAGAGAGAGGGAGACAGAGGGAGACAGAGGGAAACAGAGGGAGACAGAGAGAGACAGAGGGAGACAGAGAGGGAGACAGAGGGAGAGAGATGGAAACAGAGGCAGACAGAGGGAGACAGAGGGAGACAGAGGGAGACAGAGGGAGACAGAGAGGCAGACAGAGAGAGACAGAGGGAGACAGAGAGGCAGACAGAGGGAGACAGAGAGGCAGACAGAGAGAGACAGAGCGATAGAGATGGAGACAGAGGGAGACAGAGGGAGCCAGAGGGAGACAGAGGGAGCCAGAGGGAGAAAGAGGGAGAAAGAGGGAGAAAGAGAGAGACAGAGAGAGACAGAGAGGGAGAGAGAGGGAGACAGAGGGAGACAGTGAGAGGGAGACAGAGGGAGACAGAGGCAGACAGTGAGAGGGAGACAGAGGGAGACAGAGGGAGACAGAGGGAGCCAGAGGGAGAAAGTGGGAGAAAGAGGGAGAAAGAGAGAGACAGAGGGAGACAGAGAGAGACAGAGAGAGACAGAGAGGGAGAGAGAGGGAGACAGAGGGAGACAGTGAGAGGGAGACAGAGGGAGACAGAGGCAGACAGAGGGAGACAGAGGGAGAAAGAGGGAGAAAGAGGGAGACAGAGGGAGACAGAGGGAGAAAGAGAGAGACAGAGGGAGACAGAGAGGGAGACAGAGAGGGAGACAGAGGGAGAGAGGGGGAGACAGAGGGAGAGAGAGGGAGACAGAGGGAGACAGAGGGAGACAGAGGGAGACAGAGGGAGAGAGAGGGAGAGAGAGGTAGAGAGAGGGAGACAGAGGGAGAGAGAGGGAGACAGAGGGAGACAGAGGGTGACAGAGGGAGACAGAGGGAGACAGAGAGAGACAGAGGGAGACAGAGAGGGAGACAGAGGGAGAGAGATGGAGACAGAGGCAGACAGAGGGAGACAGAGGGAGAGAGAGGGAGAGAGAGGGAGAGAGAGGGAGACAGAGGGAGACAGAGGGAGACAGAGGGAGACAGAGAGGCAGACAGAGAGAGACAGAGGGAGAGAGATGGAGACAGAGGGAGACAGAGGGAGACAGAGGGAGACAGAGCGAGAGAGAGGGAGACAGAGGGAGAAAGAGGGAGAAAGAGGGAGACAGAGGGAGACAGAGAGGCAGACAGAGGGAGACAGAGAGGCAGACAGAGAGAGACAGAGGGAGACAGAGAGGCAGAAAGAGGGAGACAGAGAGGCAGACAGAGAGAGACAGAGCGATAGAGATGGAGACAGAGGGAGACAGAGGGAGACAGAGGCAGACAGAGGGAGACAGAGGGAGACAGAGGGAGAAAGAGAGAGACAGAGGGAGACAGAGAG